GCGCGATCCTCCGCCTCCAGCCGGGCAATGAGCTGTTCTTTGGTGAGCCTCCCAATGCGCAGCCCCCACTGCTTGCACAGCTTCACCAGGTCACTCTTAAGCCGCTTGGCATACATCTTCCTGCTGGCCACTCACCGGCCTGTGTGCTCACAGCTCCCCACAGTTCCCAGGGGGACCCCTAGTGTGCCAGCCCTTCTCGAGGTCACCACTGTCACGGAGTATTGGGGAACTCAGGGCCCTGCACCCCCGGCTTCCTGCGATTCACCATGACTCTCAGCCAGCCAGTAAAGCAGAAGATTTATTTGGATGACAGGAATACAGTCCAAGACAGGTCTTGCAGGCACAGACAACAGGGACCCCCTCAGTTAGGTCCATCTTGGGGTCCCAGGGCATCCCAGCCCCCCTTGGGAGGTCAGAGCCATCTCTGCCTCCCCACCATCTCACCACCCAGCTTCCAAGACTCTGCCTTCCGCGACCCCTCCCACAGCCTTTGTCCAGTTTCCCGGGCCAAGGTGTCACCTGGCCTCCAACCCCTTCCTGGGTTCTCATGTTACACGCTCAGGTATTCGCCTTCAGGCAGACTATCCCAGCCACCTCAGTCCTAAACCCCTTTCCTTGCACCCTGTGATGAGACTCAAATCCCCTTCCCTCGTTCCCTGATGCCGTTCTCTGCCTCTGTCATTACTAGCCCCTAACCCTGACCACGCCCCATTAGCAGATCCCATTCTCTGGCCTTGCTCCCCCACCCCCGACGCTGGGCTCTCACCCCTGCCTTGGCCATGGGGGACGATGCCATCACAGGGGCACAGCCCATTGTGTCTGGACCCATCCCTGAGGTCTCCGAGCTGGCGCTTGGATCCCGACCAGCCTGAAATGACAGGAGACATCACATGGGTGTGGGTGTGTGTGGGTGTGTGTGTGTGGCTCCTCCCCCACCCAGCTTCACCCCATGCCAGGGGACACTGACCTGAGCACTCACAGAGCCCTGCTCCGGTCGCGCGCCGTCTGACTGGGTTCAGCTCCCCCCCCGGTGCTGAGATGCGGCCCCTCTGGGGTGGGGCGCAGGGGCTGTTTATACAGGGACCCCTTGCCCAGTGCTGAGGTGCAGCTGGCTCGGGGTGGGGTGTGGGGGTGGGTTATACAGGTACCCCCATCCCCTCTCACCTGGCACACGGGGCGAGCAGGTTGTGATTGTTACAGACAGCAGCACGAACAGGCACAGGAGTTGGTCCATTTCCGCAGCGCTGTCTTGGGGCTGTCGCAGCCTTTATACCCCAGCGGCTGCCAGCCCGGTGCCCATTGGCTGCGGTTTGGCCCAGTGGGGGGGGGGGCATTGTCCTGTCACCCTGACGACTCTGACGGGAACCGAGCAGGAAGGATTAGTGGAGAACGGTGACTTTTGGGCCGATTCCCAGAGCGTGGAGTGCCCCAGGGCTTCCCCATTCCAGAGCCTTTCTGGCACCGCTGGCACCCCCCAGCTACGGGAAATGAAACCGAGAGCTGGAATAGAACCCAGGAGTCCTGGTCCCCACACCCACCTGGGTCTAACCCACCAGACCCCACTTCCCTCCCATATCTGGGGACAGAACCCAGGAGTCCTGGTCCCCACACCCACCTGGGTCTAAGCCACCAGACCCCACTCCCCTCCCAGAGCCGGGGACAGAACCCAGGAGTCCTGGCCCCCCAGCCCCCTGAGTCTAACCCACCAGCCCCCACTCTCCTCCCATATCTGGGGACAGAACCCAGGAGTCCTGGCTCCCAGACCCACCTGGGTCTAACCCACCGGAGCCCACTCCCCTCCCGGAGCTGGGGATAGTCCCAGGACACCCTGTTCCCCAGGAGTTGCATTGGGGGAACACAGGGCCTGCTCTGGGGTGAGATGGGGAACCCCGCTAGATGATGCAGGAGGGACACAGCATGAACCCCATGCCCTGGGTGCTGCCATCCCCCCTCGTGCCCATTCCCCCGCTGGCCGCGGGGTGGCGCTGTGGGACTGTGAGCTCCAGGTGCCCGAGCAGCAGCAGGTTCAGGGGGGTTCCCAGACTAGGGGTCAGCTGTGCTCCCTGCAGGGGAGCAGTGGGGTGAATCTGAACCCCTGTTCCCCCCTCCCCAGGGCAGGGGACACAGAGCAAATACCCCCCCCCAACACACACACACATTGTCCCGGTGCCACCCGGAGTCTGGGGCCAGGGGCCTGGGCTTCCCAGGTGGGGTCTGCAGAGCTGGAGATACCCAGAGGGCTGTGGGGGGGTGTGGCAGGGGCACCCGGGGGTTGGGGCAGGATCCTATTTGGAGTGGGTGAGGTTTGGGCTCAGAGACGTCACACATTGGCGGTGGGGGGGCAGTGCGTGGGAACTGAAATGGGAGGAAACACCCCACCCCTCCGGTTCCCTGGAAACAAAACCCCAGGGCCCCCAGCCGGGGGAGGGGGGAAGATTGTCCCCCCTCCCGGGGCAGGGCCCCTCCCACCCCGACAGCACCGTGCCCGCGTGTGACTCAGCACAGAACCATCCCAGGCAAGTCTGGGCCTGGGCAGCCTCTGGGTGTCGCTGGGGCACGGGGGCTGCCAGGGACAGCACGAATGTGTGTGTCACAGAGCGCCTAGAGACCCCCCGGATCGGGGCCCAGCGCGCCATCGGTGCCCAGACCCCGAGCGAGATCAGGGCCCCGTCACGCCTGGCGCTGCTCAGCCTCCGTGGTTGAGATCGGGGCCCCAGCGCGCCAGGCCCTGCCCTGCCCGGCCCCCCAGACTGAGATCAGGGCCCCATCGCGCCAGGCCCTGCCCTGCCCGGCCCCCCAGACTGAGATCAGGGCCCCATCGCGCCAGGCCCTGCCCTGCCCGGCCCCCCAGACTGAGATCAGGGCCCCATCGCGCCAGGCCCTGCCCTGCCCGGCCCCCCAGACTGAGATCAGGGCCCCATCGCGCCGGGCGCTGCACAGACCCTGATGGAGATCTGGCTCCCCGTTGTACTGACCCCGGCTAAGGTCAGGCCCCATCACTTGGTCACTGCACAGAGATCGCCCCCCCCATTGTACGGGTGCTGCACAGACCCAGACTGGGCGAGTGTCTCTGTGAGTGTGGCCCCCCGTGCTGACACACCTGTGCTGAGTGTGACACTCTGCCAGTCCCATCTGGGCGTGTTTGCACTGGTGCCAGTGCCTGCGCCAGCCACAGCGTGCGGGGTCCCCTGAGGGATCCCCGAGCCCCAGGACTGAACATCAGAGCGGCCATATCAGGTGCCCCAGAGGGAATTAGGGTGAGCAGACAGCAAATGTGAAAAATTGGGATGGGGGTGGGGGCTGTGAGTCCATGACAGGGGCTAATAGGAGCCTATATAAGAAAAAGACCCCAAAATTGGGACTGTCCCTATAAAATTGGGACATCTGGTCACTGCAGAGAGAATGAACAGAACAGGGAATCATCAAGTGATCCATCCCCTGTCGCTCATTCCCAGCTTCCGGCAAACAGAGGCTCGGGACTCCATCCCCACACATCCTGGCTAATAGCCATTGATCGATCTGTCCTCCAGGAACTGGGCTGGTTCTTTTTTTGAGCCCTGTTCTAGTCTTGGCCTTCACAACGTCCTCTGGTAAGGAGTTCCACAGGTTGTACGCTGTGTGAAAAAATACTTCCTTTTGTTTGTTTTAAACCTGCTGCCTATTAATTTCATTGGGTGACTCCTAGTTCTAGTATTATAAGAAGGAGTAAATAACACTTCCTTATTTACTTTCTCCACACCAGTCATGATTTTATAGACCTGTATCATAGCCCCCCTTAGTTGTCTCTTTTCCAAGCTGAACAGTCCCAGTCTTATTAATCTCTCCTCTTATGGCAGCTGTTCCAGACCCCTAAGCATTTATGTCACACTTTTCTGAACCTTTTCCGATCCCAATAGATCTGTTTTGAGATGTGGCGACCACATCTGCCCGGCTCCCAGCTGCCCCTGCCCTAGAGCGGGACTCACAGGTGCAGGGAGCAAACATCTGGGCAGGTGGGGGGGGGGGAGCGGACAGAGGGGCTGGCTCCGCGTTAGCTCTGCCCCCGGAGAGGGGGAGGGACCGGGGGCTGTCTAGTCCCCACCCCGCCCGGCCAGAGTCTCAGTCAGGGAGCCCCGGCAGCTGGCACAGAGAACCCAGGTGTCCGGCCGGGCACCGCACTCGGCTCTCTGCAAGGCCAGGGCAGGCAGCGACCCCCTGGGGAGGGGGCAGGGCCATGGGGCGTCGGCCCGGGAGCTGGGACCCCCCGCATGGGGCGGCCCCTGGAAAGGGCTGCTGCTGGCAGGTGAGAGCAGGGCAGGGGCGGGGGGGGCTGGGCAGCTTTGGGGCGGGGGGGGACAGGGTTCACCCCCTCGGTAGCACCCAGGATGGGGTCCCCTGCGGCCCCCCGGGGATCCTGCACCCACCCCCAGAGTTATCCCGTCTGCCGGACAGCTGGGGCCGGGGGATGTGGGGGGGCGAGTGTGAATTGTTCTTTGGTGTCTGGTCGGATCCCGGCCTCAGGGACAGCGACCACCCGCCTGTACCTTCCTCCTGCCTGCCTGTCCCTATACACGCCCCCCCCCCCTCTACTTCCCAGTGGTGTCCGTGGGGGGGATATTGTGTCCCACGGAGCAGCTCCGATTTACAGCCTCCGGGCTCTGGCCCGGGGCGTTTTCTCACCAGACTTCCCTGCCCGTAGCTGCGTCCCAGGGGGCTCCCCGCCCCCCCCCCACACCTGCCCAGATGTTTGCTCCCTGCACCTGTGAGTCCCGCTCTAGGGCAGGGGCAGCTGGGA